TAATACAGTAATCAGTATCACCTGAAAATTCATGTGGAAAGGATAGAGATGTAGAATCCTCAAAACAATCTTAGAAGAAAGTTGGAGGAATCAGATTTCCTTGCGTAACATACAGTGAATTTACAGTAATCAAGATAGTGTGGTGCTTGTATGTGGATAAACGTATGTATCAATGGAGCAGTCAAGAAATATGCCATTATATTTATGGTCATTGGATCTTTGGAAAAGTCTCCAAAACATTCCAGTGTGGGAAAGAATAGTCTTCAAAAAATGGTGCTAGGACAACAGGGTATTCAAGTGCAAAAAATGACATTGGATCCCTGCACACACACAGATTAACTCACAGTGACTCACAGATCTAAATGCAAAAATTAAAATGTGTAATACAAAATAGGGGACTAAGTCCTTGCAGCTGGATTAGCTGTAGTTTCTTAGATTGACATCAAAAGCTAAAGGGACAATGAATTGTAGTTAAAATGGCCTGCATAAAGTGTAGTATCCAGAAAGTGAAAAGATGGCTTACAGAGTAGAACAACTTAGTAAATCTGATAGCCAGAATATATAAAATCTATTACAACTCACTAATAAAAAGACAAATAATCTAATTAAAATGGGCAAAGGTTTTCTATAGATGTTTTTCCATAGATCTACAGGTGATCAGTAAGCACATGAAAAGATGTTCAGCATTACAAAGCTGCTGAGCAACTGTGAATCAAAGCCATGCTGAGTTGCTGTTTCACACTTCCTAGAATGGCTATAATCAGAAAGATGGGTAATGACAAGTGTTACTCAGGATGGGGCAAATTTGAAACCATTATCTATTAGGTGTAAATGAAAAATGTTGCAGGGCCAGCACTGTGATATAGTGGATACAAGTAAATCCTGGCTGCTCTGCTACTGATTGCTGTTGCCCAGATGCTGTAGCTCCTTGCTGATGCCCTGGGAAAAGCAGCAGAATATGGTCCAAGTCCTTGGGCTCCTGTACCCACATGGAAGACCTGGAGAAAGCTCCTGGCTTCTGAAAAGTTCCACAAAATGTTAAAAATAAAATTACTATATAGTACAGTTATTCTACTCCTAAGTATGTAGTCCAAGAAAACTGAAAACATATTCAAAACTATTCTACGCAAACTTTCATAGCAGAATTACTCACAGTGGCCAAAATGTAGAAGAAACCTCAGTTGAATAAATGGATAAATGTAATGTGGAATATCCATACAATGGAGTCTCTCAGGCATAAAACAAGAACAGAATAGTAATACATGCCACAGCTTGGAGGAACCAAAAACATGATGTGAAGTGAAAGAAAGCCATTACAAAATACTGTTTATTCTGTGATTTAATTTGTTTGAAATACTTAGAATAGGTAAATCTGTAGAGGTAGAAATAAATTAGTGATTGACTACAAGTAGGTGGGGTATAACAAGTGACTGGTAATGAGTAAGAAATTTCTTTTGGGATGATGCAAATTTTCTGTACATTTTAGAGATGGTTACACAACTTTTTTAATCTACCAAAAATATTGAATTGCATGCTTTATATGAATGAAGTTACCTCATTTATACCTCAATAAAATGTTTTTTTAAAAATGTATGGTGTAGAAAGGAGTATGTAAACAGTAGAAGAGTGATGCTTTGAGGTCAGTGTTTAGCCTGTTAGTTGAAATACTAGTTATAATGCTTGTGTTCCATATCAGCTCTGTACCAGCCCTGGATTCTGGCTCCAGCTTCTAATACAGACTGTGGGAGTTAACAGTGCTAGAGCAAGCAGTTGGGCCCCTGACAACTGAATGCACCTAGAACCATTGATTGGCTTTTGGCTTTGGAATCTATTCCAACCCAAGCTACTGTAGACATTTGGAGAGTGAACCAGCAGGTGGGGATGGTCTCTCTCCCTCTTTCTCTGTCTGTCTCTCTCCCTTTTTCCCTCCCGCCCTCCCCCTCCATGTATCTCTTCCCCTCCACTCTCCTGCTTCACTTTATCCCTCTCTCTGCATCATAAAGTAAACAGATAAATAAAAATTTAAGAGGCCGTTGTTTTTAATTCTTAGTCTTGCCTGTGTGAGTGCTTAACACATAGTAGGAGACATGGGAAATGAATGGGTAAAGAAAAAAGAATCTAATTCTAATATAGCATTCTATCTTTGCTAGTGAACTACTAAACTGATGGCAGTTACATATAGAAATTCCTCACAAAGCATTTCAAGAAAACAGAAGCATTGTGTAACCATCATTAATTTTTAAAATCTCAGGAAATAATGCAAAGTACACCTATAAAGTGACCGTGGAGGAATATGACAAAAAGAAAAAAGAAAATGATAAGAAACTATGTCATTAGAAAAGAAGTTGGAACAGAGTGTGGCTTTATTAATTTATTAGATCCTGAATACAAGTATGGTATATAAGAATCAGTTCCTAAAAGAAAAAAAAAAAAAAAAAGAATCAGTTCCTAGAAGGAAGAAGACTTTCTGGGGAAGAGTAAACTCAATAAGTAAAATCCACTGTTTTCCCCTCATTCATATAATCACTATTTTTTTGAATGTCACTTAGGCAATAATTTTGTTCTTTTGTCCCCATGCAACAGAGTTAACTGAGCTCCCTTTTGTCTAAAAGCATATACCTTTTTGCTTTAATAAGGTACCCAGGGCACACGCACCTGCACACATGCTCACAGGGTAGAACATTGGTACATGTTAAAAGCATTTGAGCTGTGTTGAAATACCGTGTTAAGGAGGATAAGGGCATTCCAATTAATAGGAGCAGCATAATAAGACACAGGACATTTATTTTGGCTAATGTGGGTGAAGAAATTAATGGGAGATAAAGCTGGGGCCAAATTATGTCCTAGCCCAATACTCACTGGCTGCTTTGAGAAAGTTACCTAATTTCTACCTGAGTAACCACTGAAATTTACCAGTGGCACTAATAAAAGCCACTGTATCAGGATTCATGCAAGAATTAAACGAGATAATACATGTGTAGCACTTATCACACATTATATGGCACAGAGTAAGTGCTCAATAAATCTGTCCTATGATTTGAATGCCACACCAAGACATTTGAGCTTTGATTTTGTAGATATAGTTTTGTGGATGTGGCAATAAAGTTTTCAGGTAGAGAGGTAGCATATTCAGAAAATGCTACGAGAAGATTGACTTGGCAGTGAGTGATCTAGAGATGAGAAAAGCAGAGCCTGGAGATGGGGGAATCAATGACAGTAGTCCAGGGGAGGTAACAAGTGCTTCAAGTGGAGTATTGATTATGTATAAAATTACTTTATAAAACTGTAGGTGTTGCTGACAGCTTGGTAGTGCCGTGATACGAATAAGAACCATGGGAAAGAACAGATTTGAAGATGAAAATGAAAGTTGGTTTTACACATACTCAGTTTGATATACCAGTGGGACACACACACGTCCCCAAAGGGAAATGTGTAACAATTGGAAATTCAGTACTGCAGCTGGTCAAGGCTTGGAAGAACTGTGAAAGCTATTGCCCAAGTGCTGTAGCCAAGAGGATATAAGAGATTACTAAAGAAAAGTAACATGGCACAGAAGAGAGGATAGTTAGGGAGCAAGCCCTACAAAGTGGGAAAATGAAGATAAGGTGAATAGTATAACTTTAATAGCCTTTCATAAAACTTTATTTTTCCTATCTGGAATTGTGTATACCTTTCTTTCATGCCTGCCAACTGATTGTTTTACTGTTTCCCTCAGCACCACAGCTCCGTAGGCCATCTGTGGTGCTCCTAACACATGTTAAAGATAGCCACCTTTGTTCTTACATAGACCTTAAATCCTCCTGCTTTTCCCCAACAGCTGATTCAACATCTATTATGATGACTTACCACAACATATGGGATATTATAAGAAGCTAAAGTTTGTGATGTCTTATAGAAGTTTGAAGAAATGACAGAAACGGGGGCTGACTTGTTACTATGAGGTGGCTATTAACAGACATGACTTTATCATTGAAAAGTACAAAGCTCCTTTTCATTTTGGATTTTTTTTAATTATCCAGAGAGAAGGCAGCGTAGTTAAAACAACACTGGGTTCTTATTCTTCTACATGATGTAAACTTGCCTCTGAATTTCTCTGATACCTTTATTTTGCTTTCAACCATTAATGCACGAGATGATTCTTACAAAAATTCATGAAAACTGCAATTGAAAGAAAGTATTTTGGTGGAAAAAAAGTCTGCAGTCATGTGTAACAGGTCTTCAGCGCGTTCACAGAAATGTGTATTAAGAAACACCTTAGTGAGCTTCAAACTTTTGTACCAAATGAACATGTTTTCATTCCATTTCCATGAAATTTTGAAATTGCTGCCATATCACAGTCAGAAGCGGAAGGTGATTTGAAGCTACCATCCTTAGCTTCTCTGAAGAACAGGAGTAATTCTGTGCCTAACTGAGGGACTTGATGGGGAAATAAGTTAAACTGGCTGATTTGCTTCCTTTGTTTTTGACTGGAGCCCTATGTTTTAACTTGATTTTAGAAGTGAATAATGGGCTATAGCCACAATCCAGTTGGCTGGCAAAGGAACTGTATTGTGTTCTGTTGCAACATTAAAAAAAATGCGCAGAAATCTTTGATAGTGGAAGACTTTTGTGATGCTTTAAAATTAACGAGCCGGCTCTGCTCTGTGTTGTGGAATTTTTTGTGTGTACTTTTTTTTGTTTGTTTGTCTTCCTTTACTGGCCTTTAGAAAACTTGTAATTGGGCTGATCTCAATCCTAATATTAGAATTCTTACTGAAGTCAACTTTGTCCTGTTACATCCAGATGTGATTGTTCACACCTTTCAGCTTCATATCTTCCTTAGTTTGCATATGTGAAGGGGTTGAAACTTGGGGTGTAAAGTTGCATGCTGAACCTGAAATGATTGTGGGATAGTACCTAAAGACAGCTTTACTAGGGGAAATTGAGGAGAGGCTCCATAGGATAAGAATATGTTTAGCCTGTGTTATGACTCCTTACAGCTCAATTTTCTCTTCTTGCAGTAAGTACAAATGGATCCTAGGTGAGGAGCCTGTGGAGAAACGAAGAAGACTCCAGAATGAGATGACAACACCTCCTCTAGATTATTCCATGTCTGGCTCTTACCTGAGGGCGGAGGCATCTGTTGGCTACCCAGAAGGCGAGAACAGCCTTGACAAATCCAGTTCTGAGAGAAGCACACCACCGTGCCTTTACCCAGAATACCCAGAGGCAAGCAAGAATACAGGTCCAAATAGGGACGCTTCCAGTCTATCTCCAGGGTCCCAAGACCAGCACCAGGGGTCCCTGCTTCCTGAAGAATCAGAAGATCAGATGCCCAAATTGGTAGCAGAAGAATCAAACCGAAGTAGCACAAACGTAAACAAAGAAGAAGTGAACAAGGGACCTTTTGTAGCTGTTGTAGGTGTTGCAAAAGGTGTCAAAGATTCAGGGGCTCCCATTCAGTTAATCCCTTTTAACAGAGAGGAGCTGGCTGAGAGAAGAAAAGCAGGTGAATCCTGGAACTTAATGCCTTATTCTTTGGCTTCTGCCACAATTCCTGCTGCAGCCACTAGGGAGAAAGGAAGAGGCTATGAGGAGAGCAGACGTTGTAGTACACCAAAGACAAAGAACCAAAGAGAGCTGGAAGAATTGAAGAGAACCACAGAAAAATTGGAACGTGTTTTGGCTGAAAGGAATTTGTTCCAGCAAAAGGTTAGGCTAACACTTTACCTCTAGAAATGAAGATTATTGTAACCAAGGGCTCGGGATGTTGGTGTAATTGATGGTTTTATATTCTGACACATTTACACAAAATCTGTCATTGAATCATTCTGTTACCTGTTTCAGAGCCCTTGAATACTAGTGGGCTTGCTGCTCATATTTGGGAATTGAACAGGTCACTAAGTTGAGGAATCTACGCTTAGAGTTTTTGGCACTCTTTGGCTTTTGGCAGAATTTGGATGCCATTGAATTTCTGTTTTCTTGTACTGCAGGTGGAGGAGCTGGAACAGGAGAGAAATCACTGGCATTCTGAATTCAAGAAAGTTCAACATGAATTGGTGACCTACAGTACCCAGGAGTCAGAAGGCTTGTACTGGAGCAAGAAACACATGGGTTATCGTCAAGCTGAGTTCCAGATTCTAAAAGCTGAACTGGAGAGAACCAAAGAGGAAAAGCAAGAATTAAAAGAGAAACTGAAGGAGACAGAGACACACCTGGAAGTGTTGCAGAAGGCTCAGGTCTCCTACCGGACCCAAGAGGGAGATGACCTAGAAAGGTTAATTCCTAGGGTTTAGTTATCAACTTGTGAGTGCTAATGGGGAGCATCCCTTAGGGACCACAGTTAGTGGCCTTAGACAAGGGAAAAAGCAAAGCCTTAATTCACAGGCCACCAAGTATTGAGTAATTACTTTGTAGAAAACCTCAGCCAGTTTTCCCTGTGCCTGGTGGCATTGTACATTCTTCTTTCTCTCTAGCTAATGGAAACCTAATTGTTGAGAAGTGTAGGCCCATTTTGAAGGGGCTCCATTGTATTCTGTTGGCTAATGACTTCATGTCATCTCTTCTCCTGCCCTTCACTCCATCATACAGGGCTTTGGCAAAGCTTACGCGGCTACGTATCCACGTCAGCTATCTCCTTACTTCTGTCCTCCCTCACTTGGAGCTTCGTGAGATCGGGTATGACTCAGAACAAGTGGATGGGATCCTGTACACGGTGCTGGAGGCAAATCACATACTGGACTGAGCCCCAGACTTTCTCTCTCTCTCCTTTTCTCTCTCCCTTTTTCTCTTTGTCTCTCTCTCTCTCTGTTTCTCTCTCTCTCTCTCTTTCTCTCTCTCTTCTACCCTCTTATTTCGATCTTCTACCTTCTCTTCTTGTTCTCCTCCTTCCCCCTTGCCTCTGTCTCTACCACTTGTATGCCTTATGTAAAGAATCTTTGAAAACATCCTGGCTTTTAATCAATCTGCTTCTTACTCAGTTTTGGTGTGGAGAAAGATGTTTAAATATACTTTGAAGAGTCCAGGAACAGAAAAGAAAGTCATAAAGCTAGGTGACATAAGAGGTTTAATTTTGAAGACCCAGATACTTGGCCTGTTTCATATCCTTTCTAAGATAGTTCATGTTCTTAAAACAGTTGGCAGATACTGGGTCCAATGTACTAAGTGTTCTAGGATAAGCTAAGAAATAAAAGTCATGGTTTCAGATTGCAAGGATGTAATCATCTAGTTGGAGATAGAAGACATATGCTAAGTTGCTTAACTATATACAGGAGTATATGATATGTGCAAGTGAGTGGTACAAACCTGATATGGAAGATCTGGGGGGAGGGGCAGAAGAAAATATGAGGGAGGAAGTTCAAGGAAGAAGTCACAAAAGAAGTGGGACCTGAACTAGGATTTAAGGAAGAGGCATGACCACACTGTTAATGGCAGTGGTTATTTAGGTTGTAGGACTGTGGTTGATTTTTTTTTCTTCTTCCTATCTTCCTGCCCTCTTCAAATTTTCTATAACAAAGTTGGTATTCTTATGTTGTAAAAATAAATTGTTTTTTTTAAAGAGCAAACAAATTTGGATATCCTCTGAGAGACTTGTGAAATTACATGGTGATATTATAATTTATATTAAATTTCACATTACCTCTGGAAGAACAATACAAATACATAAAAGTATGGGTTATGAAAAAAGTATTTGTTAGAAGTGATGGATTAGTGTAGATTTCCAAAGTGCCCTTGTGTATATGATTACATTGTGGCCTTGTAGGGAGATGTATCTGATGCCCCCTAGAATTAGACCTGCCTATTCTTTGGGCTGGTATGGGGTGAGAGATAAGACTTCATAGTATCAGAAATAATAAAACATACAGTCTTATAAAAGGATCCATTTTATTAATTCATTGCTTTATTGTATTTATACAGCACACACTCTGAGTTCAAGGTACTCTTCAGAAGATGTTGAACAATGAACACATAAATTAACAGTGAAAAATGGGATGTAGAGGAGAAACAATAAAAGGAACTTGGGATCAAACAGTGACAAAATATTAGCTAGGCTAGCGGAAATGTTTTGGATTTTTATGCTACTTTGCCTCGGCAAAGTTACTTCAGACAATTTCCAAATTATTTTACCTGCTTTGAAAGTAGATGCACAATAGGTACTCCAGTGAGACTGCAGGAAATTAGAGGAGGCTGGAGCCTGGCTTCACTTAAAGGCCTTCGCTGCCCATTTGGATCATGCAAGTCAAGGCCCCAGTTGTCTCAATGTTAGTGACAGGAGCGGGGGTCTATTCACTTCAATAACAGAGCACCTTCTGTGTTATTTATTAAGAAGCTGTTCCAGCCTGGGGTCCCTGTAACTATTGATAGCTGTCATTATGGAGAAATTGAAAAGTGTTCACCCAGGCTTTCCCAAGTTTGTGATCTGAGTGTGAAGGGAAGAGGCACTGAAGGGAAAATTGGGTGCATTCTCCAGGTTTTTGCTGTTGTGTTAATATATCTTTTCAAATAGCTATTGACTGCCCTTTAACTTTCTATTTCCATGATCAGCATACAACCTTATTATGGGACTTGGTCATTGAAATCCATTCTTAACTGGTGCTCTGTGCTTCCTATTCCTACACAGTATCATTAAATGGCTTTTAGCAGCTTGATCAGGTCATGCCTCTACTCAAAGACCTGCTAGTATTCCCAACTGCCTGCCAAGCCCCATATAATTTAATGTGTGCTACTTAAAGCTCTTTGTGACTTAGCTTCTACCCTCTTTAGATTGGTCTTGAAATATTTCACACAAAAACCACATTTTATCCCAAGTGAACTGTTTTGTTGTTGTTTTTTGAATTTCTGAGCAAGCCTTAAAGTTGTTTCCTTTCCTCTTTGGCTGTCCCATCCCATTTACCTGGAATGTTCTCACTCAACATGTTTCATTAGGTGCGATTGATAACTTTTTGTCCTGCAAATTCCTTGAATTAACCCAGTTAGACCTGCCTTTCCTCTTTGAGCATTTTGGTTTTATGTCCCTTATGAGAGTCTCATCACAAACTTCGTTGTCCTTGTCGTCCCTAATAGGAAACTCCAGAGTTTTGAATATTTGACAGACTACTTGACATTTACATTTAAATGTCTCATGTATATTTCAAACAAAACATCTTAAAAATAAACAGTGCAACATAGCTCAGGACTATTTCTCCCTGCCAGTTTTCCTTGCCTTTGAAAATGGCACCTCGACCCACCAAATTGCTTAAGCCAGAAACCTAGAAATCATCCTCTCATCCCTTATCCAGCCTACTAATCGGGTCTGTCCGTGCTCTCCAACGTATACCTTGACTTGACTCATTTTTTACCACAGCTAGCTTAATCCAAACTGTAGTCATCTCACAAGGATGGTCATGACTTCCAACTAGACCGCTTATTTCCACTCCAGTTCGCACAGTTGTCTTATTACTGGGGACAGAGGGCCTGCTTTTAAATATAAAGCAAACGATGCAATGCTTAAAGACCTGAAATAACTTCTGGTTCTTAGAACAAATTCCAAATCCCTTACAGTGTGCTTCTATAAAACTGCTGCCTACTTTTATTTTGTCTCATGCGATCCTTCATCTTATGCCACTCTTTCCTCTGGCTCCCCATAGTCTTCACACTTGAAATATGACAAGTTCTTTGCTGCTGAGCCTTTATTCATAACTGCTCCCACTCTTGGAATGCTCTCATCTCCTATCTTGGCATGGCTGGCTTTTCCTCATCCTTCCTCTCTTGGTGTAGGTGTTGCTTCCACAGGCCTTGCCCAACAGTCATTTTTTCCTGTCTACTTTATGACTCTACTGCTGTTTTCCTGAGTCATTTTTTTTAAAACTCCTTAACACTCCTCAGAGTTTATGTATTTGGTCATTTGCTTTTACTCATATAAGATATGTTTATTGGATACCTGCTGTGCACTGTGATACACATTAGTGAACAAAATATACATGATCCCCATTTACCTACCTCAACCAGTTCCATAAGAAGATGAAGGCATGGCTTTTTTTCTTTATTATTATTATTATTATTTGGCCAACCACTGCATCCTGGAAATTATTGTAGTGTCTGGGATATAGTAATTAATAAATGATTATTAATAAATGAATGAATGATGGTAAGTGTGTTTTGTTCATATGTCCATCTCCCTCAAGGGGCTAAGGCAATGCCATATTCATAGAAGGGTTTGGGTACAAGCTGTGAATGAGGTTGGTAATAATTCTGGCAATCTAACTCTGAAGGTAGAAGACTGAGGTAGTATGTGCTACAAGCTATTGGGGGTGTTCTTTATAAGCAGGAGTGGTCTAGTGTTTCTCTTTTGGCTACCAAAGGAGGAAAGATATATGGGTGTCCTTTACAAGAAATGTTCAGAATCATCAAAATGAGGCTGCTTAAACATACGATTTTTAAATACTGACAACTGCAAAATATGTAACCAGGTTGTGGAGAGCAGATCTTAGGAGTGAGAACTTAAAAGGAAAAAAAAAAAAAAAACCTCTGAGGAAGCTTTCTTTTTTTACCTTTTTCAAGACTGGGCATAGTTTATTTCCAGAAAAAGAAAAAGCTATCTACAGGCCAAGAACTGACAATAAATTTCAAAGGAAATGAGTTCTGGGCAAATGTTAGATCAGTACGTATTTGTTGAATGCATGAATGGGCATCTGGCAGAGGACTAGGCCAGACCTTGTGGTCCCAGAGGACAGGAAGATTGGCTTGTTTGTGTTCATTGAGGACCAATAACCTGGACTAACAAGTCAGATGCAGATGCTTAGTAGACTCTCGGTTCCCAAGGGCAGCCTCTAGATAAAATGTTCAGATTTTTTTTTCATTTTTTTAAGTTTGAAAGGCAGAGTTATAATCTTCCATCTGCTTGTTCAAATTGCCCAAATGGCTGCAATGAACAGGAGGAAGCTGGGAGCCTGGAACTCCATCTGAGTCTCCAATGTGGGTGAGAGGGCCCAAGTACTCAGATCATCTATCGTCTCCATCACCTAGTGTTTTTGCAGGTGTGTTTATAAAAGACTGGATCAGCAGTGGAGCAGCTTGGACTCCTGTGGGACAGTAGCATCACGGATAGCAGCTTAATCTGCTGCAAAACAATGCTAGCCCATCTTGTTTTTATTATTTGAAAAGCAAAGGAAGAAGCAGACACCAGCTGAATTTGAATCACAACCCGTTTTAATGGTACTGTGTTAGGAATGAAACACTGAGGCTGGCTCAGGAATAACGAATGTGAGACTGATCTCAGTCAAGGCTACTGTGCTGAAAAAGAGTGACTTAAGCTTCATGAAAAGGACTTAAATATATATTTAATGTGTATTTCATGTATTTATATATCATTTATATTATATATAATGTATATTATGGTATGTAATAAACATATATAATTATATATAATATTAGCTCATCTATATTCATTAATGTATATAATTGTTGATATGTAATTATGTGATATGTAATAAAATATATATATATATATATTTGGAAAGCAGGTATATGGAGAGAAGGAGAGACACATCTTCCATCTGCTGATTCACTCCCCAAATGACTGCAGTGGCCATAGCTGAACTGATCTGGAGCCAGGAGCCAAGAGCTGCTTCTGGGTCTCCCACATGGTGCAAGGTCCCAAGCCTTTGGGCCATTCTCAACTGCTTTCCCGGGACACAACCAGGGAGCTGGAAGGGAATTGGAATAGCCAGGACATGCCAGGATCCATATGGGATCCTGGAGCTTGCAAAGGGAGAATTTAGCCATTGAGCCATCATGGGGAGCCCCATGTCAAGCACATCTTTTTAACTTATGGCTAATAATATGCAGGAAGAACATTCAGGAACTATATATTGTGAAATCAAAGTCGGGGCATATGCTTGGTTAATAAATTAATTCACTGAAGGAAGAACTGGATAATACTGGGTATGTGCAAGCCCTGGTCATGAAGTAAGCCATAAAAGCATTCATTTTCTGATAGAAAATGTCAGCACAAGAAATACGTTACTTGCCTCCATCCCTGAACCCAGTTGATAGGAATTGCTGGAAATCTCCAGCCTACTACATACTGTAACTAGTATGTTTTCCACAAGCCAAAAACAATTGGATAGGTAATAATATAGCCTTAGGTAGAGGATTAGAAAACTGGATCCAAAGGTCTGGTCTTCCACATAGGCCCTAGGAACCTAGAAGGATTGGGATTGTAGAGGTATGCAGGAAAGGTTTTCCAGAAGTAAGGGTATAGTAGTATAGCCCAAATCTCGAAACCTAGGGATAATGGGGATTACAGTCACACCCCAGAGAGTTTGAGAAAGAATAGTTTACCCAGCTGAAGCATAGGAAAAGAAAGGACCAAAAGTATGCAAACGGCAGAGGGAAGTTACTCTAAAACAACTTGGCAATGGTGTTTTTGGAGGCTGTGAATTGGGAAAGTGGCTGCTGAAATCTCCGCAAGCATACCCTGCATTTGGGGAGTTAATCTCAGGTTGCAGTTCCTTGGGGACTGAGCTTTTCTACAGCAGCAGGGCTTAGTTAATCACAAACTCTGTTTCATCCCAGATTTTAGCAAATCCAAATGAAGGTAAAAGATCCATCTGTTCTCTTTCCTCTTCCACTTCTGAAGCCTACTTTCCTTTGACTTCCTATGAATAGAGAAGCCTGTCCAAAATTTTCACAAATCTTGAAAAGTTTTTTAGAAAAACTGCCTCTGCTAGTTCAGATCTGTAGTTAAATAAATGTATGTATGTATATACTTTGTCATCTTCTGTCATACCACAAAGATACCTTTTGGTATACTTTGACAGTATCTTTTAGGTCTCCTATATGCTGACAGATAATAACAGGTAATCTTTTTTAACATGCTCATTTCATAGATGAGGAAACTAGATAATGAGGTCCTTTTTCCAAGATCACACCACTAGGGAATGCAAAGACAAAATTCAAACCCAGGCAGAGGCAGGCTTGGCATGGGAGATAAAGCTGCTGTGTGCAATGCCAGTACCCCATATGGGCACCTATTCATGTCCTGGCAGCTCCATTTCAATCAAGCTCTTTATTAATGGCCTGGGAAAATAACAAAAGATGACCCAAGTCCTGGGTCCCTGCACACACATAGGAGACCTAGAAGACACTCCATGCTCTTGGCTTCATGCTAGTCCAGGCCTAGCCATT